CCCCCCCCCCACATGCATGCATACACACACACACACACACACACATATGCACACACACATTTAAATCATGGGACTATTTTTAGAAAAGTCGATGTTAAGTTAAAGGCGCCACGGATGACAGCTTAAGGAAATCTTCCCGCTTGTCTCATTTGCATTCCCAGCTTTCTCCAGACCAAGGACAAGTTTTCTCTCTAGAAAGTCATTTCTGAACTCCAGCCCTGAGTTAGTGACTCTCCGGTAAGTTCTCAGAACCACATGCTTTCCAGCCCCTGTGACACTACATAAAAAGGATCCGGTTATGACTGGCTGCCTTCACAAGGCGAGGCATCTCTCTCATTGCCTTGTGCCTGGCTCAGGGCCTGGTAGAGTAGGTTCTTGGTATGTAATTGTGGAATCTAATATGAGATCAGGCTTAGTATCCCAAGAGCCTTTTCTGTGGAAACACAGTGTGGCCTTCAGAGTTACAGACTACGTGTATCAGAACATGTGGGGACATCCCTCTGTGTCTTTGGTTTAGGATGCTAAACAAGAGAGCGGCACAACTTTGGGATATGTGGACCCAACCTGTTACAGGAAGCTTGATTGGTGGATAATTGATAGCAGAAAGATCTAGATGAAACAAAGGGAATAGACTGGTGGAAGGGGACCCAGATAAAACCCTCCTCATCAGCTATCAGCCCTTTTTGGGCCTGTGAGCATTTCGCTGTCTAACCAATTTCTTTGGGTATATTATGTTATTCTTAATATCGGAATGCTCTAGAACTGGCACCCTGGTCAATGAGTCCTTTATTAGATAATATGTCTCCCAGGTGTTGTTATACAATTGAGGGTGGAGCATTAGCTGACCTTCTAAAGCCAAACACTGGGAATGGAATTCCAAGTTGCTTTGTTGAATTTGTCTCTGTAATTGACCTCATCTATTAAATGTACCATGTCCCTTTCCACTGCCACACATTTAATTATGCATCATAGTAGGGCTTAGATAACAACTTTTACTTCTAAAAGCCTTCCCCAAGTCTTTCACTATTGCTAGTAGAAATCCCTGGGAGTCAAGTCTGTATTAAAATAGCAAATGAAAAATGCATAAACTACACCAAGCCAATGCAATGTCAATCTTACCAATACATAAAAGTGCATATGAGTAGTACTTTATTAAATGTAAGAAGCATGCATAAACTCTTCTGTGGGACCCAAGTATATTAGTAATAGATATACCATAAAATTCAGTGGTGGGAAGGTTACAAAAGTCAGCAGAGCTGAAACAAACACTCCTATTTTAAAGTAATCATTACAAAATGGGAGAAATAGATACATTTACTGTGGAACTGCAACTGGGACAGTGACTGTTGTAGTCATTGGTCCCAAGTAATCTCCAGGCACTTTCGGATCTGTACACATATATGGTTATACAATTGTGGAGCTTGGGAAGGCTCAACATCTGTAATCTGTAAGCTGGGGACCAAGAAGAGCCAATAATATGGTTTCAGTCTGAGGTAAAATACTTGAGAAATGGAGAACTGATGATGTAAGAGACAGTTTGGTATTTAAGGAGGAATCTGGTGTGTGTGGATGTGTGTGTGTGTGTGTGTGTGTGT